GTGAGCCCTGCAAGGGATGCCCACAGCGTGAACCCTGTAAGGGATACCACCAGACAGAGCCTTGCGAGGAATGCCAACAGCGTGAACCCTGCAAGGGATGCCAACAGCGTGAGCCCTGCAAGGGATGTCTACAACGGGAACCCTGCAAGGAATGCCAACAGCGTGAGCCCGGCAAGGGATGCCAACAGTGTGAGCCCTGCAAGGGATGCCCACAGCGTGAACCCTGTAAGGGATACCACCAGACAGAGCCTTGCGAGGAATGCCAACAGTGTAAGCCCCGCACGGCCGAAGTCGCCGCTTCCGAGAGCGGGGCGGTCAATGGGGCCGCAGGTCTCCGTACCACAAGCGCAAATGAGGTCTCGCAGGACAGGAGAAACGGCTGCAAACTCGCTTCAGCGGACGGTGTCGGTTCCCGTAGATGATAGTGTGGGCGAGGCGAAAGGTCAGAAAATACCAACTCGATATACAGTCCGCCAGTTCCAAAATAATTTGGCGAGCGCCATCGCCAAGAAAGACGTGCAGCGGTTTTATAGCCTTCTTCAAAAATACAATACGTGTTGTAACACGGGACGAATTATAGATGCCATTGAGGGCATGCCGTCGGGTAAAGCGATCCCCAGTAAGAAAAAAAATAGTGCTTGTGCCGTAACGGCTTCCGACGATGCACGTTCCCTTGTTGATCTGGTAGTGGACTTCAGGACAGGCTATACAATGACGCATCTTGCGGTGATGTCAGGGGAACCAGGATTTGTAGAGAGCTGTCTCCGTTTTGGCAGTGCTGTGCACAGCTACGAGGACTTAAATGGCGACACAGCGTTAATGCTAGCGTTATGGGTACAGCCAGGAATGGCTTTTGAGATGTTGCACCGCGGGCAAGATATAAACATTGCCAGAATAGACACTCATGGAAGGAATTTGCTGCATTCCGCCGTCAACGTCCATATGGAGTCCACTGAATGGCCAGAACGGCTCGACTTCATTAAACTACTTGTGTCGCTGAATAGTGAGATGACATTGCTGAGGGATCCGTTTGGGTATACACCTGCAATGTGGGCCCTTGAGCAAATCGAAAACTTCAGTAACAAGAAGGAGGGGATGGAGATTGTATCGTTCCTTAAGGAAACAGAGAGAGCAACGAGGGCAAAGGCCAAGGCGGCGCGTGCCAAGAAGGAAGAAGAACGAGAGTCGCTTGCTAGAAAGGCGTCCGAAGAAATACCCTCCATGCACTCCGAGATGCGACTATCGGACCATGTACGGTTTGTCTTGGAGGGCCCACAGACCCGTCTCATCTGTATCGCACTTCTCTTGTTTTTGCACAATATTCTGTATGCCTGTGACATGGCTGACCGCCGGATGGACGCACAGTACCGTGACGCCTATTTTGACCTTTGGTTCACCGTTTTCAACAACATTGCCTCTTGCTGGAACGGCTCCGCCTTCTTTATGGGACTAACGCACGCCTTGTGCGCTTTTGGCGCTGCTATCATATTTTGTCTTTTTTTTCACTACGTGGTACATGGGTTGCTGTGCAAAAAACTTTTACGTCTGCCAAGCTGTGGTGCCCAATCGGAAGCGGAGAAGCGTTTCATTCGAAAATCATTCGGAGCCTTCTATGCCAAAGCTTGCAAGGGTTGCGAGCGTGGCAAATATTTCGCGATGACTATGGGTGCTGTGGTCGGTGTGTATACGGGTGCAAAACTGTACAACTTCATGCTGCATCGTATCTGGCCAGGACAGTTATCGTGGGCATTGATCCAGCCGACACTTGGTGGCCTTGACGCTGTAACGGCACTACGTGGCTTCTGGTTGACAACGCTCATGATCGATTGGTACATTTTTATGTTTGTGTTCGACCTCATGTATCAACAGGGCTCTCTCAACATATATTTACCACACCACACTTTTAGCGGGTTTGCAGAAGACTTGAATGCGATGGTACGTCAGCGAAAAAAGAAGCTCGTGGAAGGGGATATCTACATGGTGCGCATGGCGCTTTACTGGGTGTTGTTATTGCTAGGTTGGTCAGTGATTGCAATGGCTTTCCTCATCGTAGAGTTACATCAAGGTCCTGCAAAGATTGTCTTCTTGGATCCCATCTTCGCAACGTCATGGCCTGGCGGACCAGTGGCTGTTGCCAGCCTATGCATTCTTCTTGAGTGCATCATCATTTGCCAGGAGTGGACCTGGCCTACATTTCAAGGGCACCCTTACCTGCAGTTCCCTGGGCTGGTTATTACGACACACCATGTGTGGTTTCTCATTTTGGTGTTGACTGTTTTGTTCAGCCTTGACTTGCGCATAATATCGCAGCACGTGAAGCTGCTACGGGAAGAGACAGGTCGATTATCATCAAAGGACTCCGGATTACTCTTCCTGTCGCTACTCCCAGCCATTATTGGTTTTCTCACGCTTGCACTGGTAACTATCCGGTCTTCACTCTGGTGGGAATCTAGAGGCCGGTGTGGTGAGAAAATTGCGCTGTTTGCGGAGCACATGTGCCTGACGCCATGCCCCCTGCAGGATGAGGCGGCCGCACTGTTGGCGAAGCGCGCCGAGGAGCAGCGCAGCGTTTTGCTTTCTCGATCGCTGGTGCACGAGTCGGAGGTGAAGAGCGCGCGGGTGAGGAAGGAGGTTCACTCGGCCATTATGGACCTCGAGGAAGATATACTCGCTGTGCCGCCCGAGACGGCGGAGCCCGACAAGGAGACCGCCGGAAGCGCGACACGTAAGAAGCAGCAGTCGACGTGGAGCTCGGTCCTTCGGCGCCTGTATCCCGGCGCTAGCCGCAGCCGGAGCCGGAGCGGCAGCAGCCGCAGCAGCAGCAGGTCCTCCACTGCTTCAGCGATATCCCTGGACGGAGAGGACAGGGAATCTCCGCAAAAGCAGCAAAAAAAGTGTATGGAAGAGCAAGAACAAAAGGGATAAGGATGGAGGTGCCTGCCACCCAATGTGCCTGACCCCTTCCTTACGCCACGTAGAGCTGTGCATAGTCACCACCCCTCTCTCGGAAAGGGTGGTGATATCATTCTCGCGTTCCCCTCACTACTTGTTTATTTATTTTTTGTTCTGCTCCTTCGAATCATCTACGCGCTGCTCGTGGGTTCTCTTTAGATTCTGAAGAAGGTTTTTTTTTTCGGTTTTAGAGTATATATTCCTTACTGCTTCGTTCTTTTGTTTCTTTACCAGTGACTTGTTTTTATCTCCGCTGCCCTTCTCTTTTCATCTCGTATTAATTAATGAGATCGAAGAGGGGAAGGGGAAGGGGGAGGGGAGAGAACGAAATGAATAGCATTCGCGCGCTAGAAGAGCGGTGCTGTTGGTGTATGTCTTGCAGAGAATCCGTGACAAGTAACGGACACCCTTCTACGAGTGATTTGTTGTGCTATGTCCTCTTCTCCCCCTGCTTAATTAATTATTTATTTTTTCCTTTTTTTTTTGGTTTTTGAACCGCGTCCTGTAGTTCTGGATTTCTCATCGGGACGGAGATGACCACCGCGCAGATGCCCACCTACCGGATGAACCCACTCGCGCGGGACTGGACTCCCGCCAGCGAAGACGCAGTCAGGGCAAAATCAGTGGTCTCCGCCGCTGCCACCCCAGCGGCCCATGTCGTGGGGCCTCACTGGGGCCCCTTCGTCGACCCTACGTGGGCGGGGCCAATTCCTGCACATGTCCCTCACACCGTTGACAACGGCCCAAATAATCATGCCTTTCCTTGGTTTCCAAGTGCCTGGATGGATGCAAAACAGAGCTACTTTAACTATTGCTACTACTGGCACATGTACCAGTCCTTTCAGCAAGAACAAAGACAGGAAACCTATTATTGTGATTCACCACTCCCTACTGTTGCGGCGTTTCAAGGAGCCCCGTTGATAAGAGATGTTGCCGTGGATGCCATCACGCCGCTAGCTGAAACAGTTCTCATCGTGCCAGATGAAACCAGTGGCGGTATTCCGTCCGTACCCACCACAAAAACCCCAAGCCCTTCCCCCCAGTTCTCATGCGGTGAATGCAATGTGGTGTGCTCTGGCCGAGATGACTGGCATCGCCACCCTGGTGGATCAGGCGTTTCTTGTTTTCTGTGTGGGGAGCTTGGCCATCGCTACACAGCGTGCCGATTGTTTGACGGTAAAACTGTGTGTTTCATAAATACTGCTGATTCCTGCATTTATGCGATGCGACATGAACGGTGGATTGAAAGGGCCACACTACATGATGTGTACTTGTTCGTCTACTTGGCTGTTGGAATCGTGCCAGTCCAGGTTGTACTGCGTGTGGGCACTCTAATGGTGAGTGCAGCGCAGTATCCCCCTGAGACGCGTTGCTGTGACTTGCAGCTTCTTCCTGGGGCTGTTGTGGCTATCACGCAGAGCCAGCCTTCCGCTAAGGGGGCCATACATCCGCCACCACCGCCGCCGCCGCTGCCATTACGGTCAGACAACGTAATGCCATCGAGCAGGGTATGTGGCCGTCAATTGCGCCGCTGTGAAGAAGAAGAAGAGGCACTGATGGAGGAAGGCTTGGATGTCTCCACAATTGCAAAGGCATCAGAGCTCTCCGTTTCAATTTCAATTTTGGAGCGAAATACAAAGAAGAGAGTGACTGGTGTGAGAAAAGAGACGCTTGCTGAAGATGTCTCATCCGCCGCAGAAAGACCCAGCAGGAAGTACGAGAGTAGCCCCACGATCACGGAGGCCAAAATTGCCGCAGCGTCTCTTGCGACGCCAAGCACTGATGACGATGAGTGTGCAGGCACAAACTCTGCGGGTGCGGCATATCCGACCTCCACTGCGGCTTCCACGGTACCAGACCCAACCGCTGGAAAGGAGATACCCCCCTCTCGTGCAGAGGCGGCGCGCAATACATTGTGTTACGGCGGCGAGCCGCTCGACTGGGCTGAACTCTCTGTGACAGAGGAAAACTTCTTTGAGCATCAGGAAAGCAGAAATGAAGCACGACAAGAATGTGCCACCTTATCGCCCTTTCCGCTATCGACGGGAATTGACCCCCTTAATGCTGAAGAGCCATGCCGCCGTCGTCGTACTGTGCACGTGCGTTTCATACCTGTGTCGATGTCTTTTTCGGCGATACGAAGACTCCTCTGGTCATGCGGTGAGGTGTACAAGGTGCGGCTGGTGAAGCCGCAGGTGACAACGAATCCCAGGCGCATGTTCTACGTGTGCTTTGTTGAGTATGCCACGGAGGAGGGAGCAATGAATATGATGAGGATGCAGGGCCACCGTGTGGCGGAGTCCTTCCGCCTGGCTGTGGAGTACAGCCGACACCCCATCCGCGGCGGCTACGTTACGGACCGTGACGTGGGCACGGGTAAGCCATGTACGTTTGGCCTTGGCGAGAGGGAGCGGCGAGCGGTGGAGCTGCGCTTCGCTGTTGTCGGCCCGACCAACGCAGAGGTGATAAAAGACAGCGGTGTAAAAGTGCAGCGCAGACGGGGAGTTCGGCGGCGACGCGGCAACGGTCGTCATTGCGCGGCCGCATTAACTGCTGCTACTGAGGCAGAAGCGGCGGAGGAGGAGGAGGACGACGACGACGACGATAACAACGACAACGGCGCGGGGCATGCGAGGGGCGGGCCAGGTGGGCCCTACGCTCTCCAAATCGTCGCCACGACGGATTTGCGGAAGCGGGTGCGGGTCGACGGCTGCCGCGGCGGAAATGGCGGTGACGCGGAGAGCGGCGACGAGGCAGCGGCCCCGCTTACTATGCCCGCGGCTGTGGTGCTTCCACGTGCCGTGAGTCGTGACACGGGGATAAGCTGTGAACAGGCGATGCGTGAGCGCTTGCGCTGCGTTGTTGCGTTGTACGTCCGGCAGACGACGCCAAAGAACTTTTACGAAGTTCTCACGGTTCTTGAGGAGATCAAGTGGAATTCCATGACGCCACTCTTTCACCTAAGCCTCATGAGGTGTGAAGTGGCACTGTTCCTGCACCATGACCACGCCAGAGATGCTGAGAGCGCGGGCGTAGTGGCCGCCAAGGCTCTCAATTTGGGGAGCGAACTTCTACAGCTTCTGGCCGCCGTTGCTACTGGTGGCAGCACGCGTGTGGAAGCCGCCTGGCGCCTGCTATTCACCCGCACACCACCGTCGGAACAGCAGCATGTGGTGACAAAAAATGGCGAGAGTACCGAAGAATTGGAAGAGGGGGCGCAGTCGCAAGGGAATAACGGCGCGTCACGTTTATACCCGAACTGCAGTGCCCTCTTGAGCTTTGCCGAGATCCTTCTTCACATTGGTGTTTTGCTGGACCGTTTCCATGGGGATATTGACGTCGATTCCGACGTTGCTGAAGCGAGGATGAGTGCGGAACCGTCTGCTGCGATTTCGAAGACGAGCAGTACACACAATTCCGTGCGGGATCTGCTGTTGTGTGTTCGTGACCTGCTGACGCAGCTGCAGACCGTCCTTGATGCAGAAGAGGCTTCTGCTGCCTCCGGCGTCTCCGTGTGGAGCAGCAGGGCAGCACAGGCCCTGCAGCAAGTGCCAACAGAAGCTGACTGGCGCCCTGGATGCTTGATGAGTGCACGCCTCCCAGATGTCGGGAAGCTGTTAACCTCGACATTAACAGAGGAAGTGGAGATGCTTCTCTTCTAAGCAGCAGTAGTGGTGTTTTTTTTTTATTATTTTATTTATGATTTTGACTCCATTCTGTTTTTTTTGTTTCTCTTTCTTGGCCTCTTACTTTTTTTAAATAACTTTTTTTTTTTTGAGGGGGAGGGGCTTGCGATAACAGAGCGGCTCCTCCTCGGACCACCTCACCCGCACAAGCCGCGCGAGGTGGGAGGCAAGAAAATTGTTCCTTGAGGTAATAAGAAAATAGCTTCCTATTTTGTTTCTTTCTCCCTTACCTCTTCTGCACAGATCTCTTGCTTGCGAATTGGCTTTTTCGTGTGCTGTTCTGATTTGTTATTTCTTGTTTTGTTTTGCTTTGTGCCTTGAGTGCCCCCGGCAGTGCGCCAGAGACGGATCGGGAGGTAACCGGGAGGGAGGGGGGGAGAAAAGACGGGTGCCTGTCAATGCGTGTGCCTGAAGTAAGGCTCCCTTTTTTTTGAGGGGGGGTTCTTGTTGTTGGTGATGGTGGCTCTTGTTTTTGAATGGTGTATCTCTGCTGCTTTTGACACTCATTCCTGCCGCTGTTTTTTTTTTCTTTTACCTTTCTTTGCTCCTCTGTGCCTTCCCCGTACTGTTATTTCCACCGCGACCGTTTCGTGCCAAGAGCCGGTGACTGCGGTAGCTGTTCAGCACACCTGCACGAGGTAGGAGGGTTTCTTCCGTCGCCGCTGAGAACTGCGCATTGTGCCCGCTACTTTGGCGGCGGCAATGATGAATAGCGGGCGCGGGTCGCCCCCGTCGCTATTGTCGTCGGATGGTGAAGGGTACAGTACTACTCGTGGCGGCGTCGTGGCGAACACATCACGCTTCAGCCGCACCGACAGCGGCAATCTGATGATTGGGGCGCACACACCAACGCTCGAGAGGCGGTTGAAGAGCAGAGGTGGCAACGGCACCACTGGCGATGCAGTGAGACCCACGGGGCTCGGCATCACGCGTGGCCTTTTGGCACCGCGGCATTCGTCCACCTCCTGCACGGAAGGCAAACTGCGACACCGTGCCTCAACATACGATCCCCTTAGCAAGAAGCGTAGCGGCCTAGCGGAGTATGACGCGGGTGTTGCCCAAGCGATGGTAAACACAGCGCACCATATGGAGCAAATTGACCGCCTGCGCCGTCGGTCTCTTTTCTCCACCTTTGGCGGGGTTGTTTCCCATGCGGAGTATCATCGTTGCCATTATCGCAGGGGCCCCAGCCGTAGCCCATCACAACATCTTAGAGAACCTCCCACGTCGTTCCCGTCCACTCTTTTGCCTGAAACGCAGGGAGAGAGAGATCGGAAACGGTCTGGATTGCGGGACGAACCGGTGATTCTGGCATTGGAAACTGAGAGACCACTGCCCGTGTCACCAGTGCCGCTCAATCGCGGCAGAGATCTCGCGCTTGTGCCGATTGTATCACCCAGTGATACAGTGAAAAGGGCGATGACATCGAGTGGTAGTAGTGAATACACTCCACGGGGTGCAGAGCCAGTGACGTGGGGCATGGAGCGCGCTTCGATGAACGCTGGTCGTGGTGACGCCATGCTGCACAGGGTGGGCAGCAATAGAGCGGGCTCTGCGACGGCAGATTGGCGGGAGAGTAGCGGGCCTGTTATGCCGACTCCTGTTCCCGTTGGCCCGACATTGCACCACAAACAACTTACAGAGGCGTTTTACGGGAACTACACAAGTGGCTTGCTTGCACATGAGGCGTATATGCACTTTATGGCGGACATGAATCGGCTGCGACTAGGAAGTGGAGGTGTTGTACCTCGTCATCGTCATCGTCATCGTCATCGTCAGCAACAAAAGGAGCGGCATCAATCCACAGCGGATCGTCTACAGAAACGCAACCTCCCATTAGAACATCTTGAGAGGGACGAGATTGCCACGTGGTCGGCCTCTGTCACCCCGCATCCGAAATGCCTGTGAGCTGGTGAAAAGAAAAATAGAGATTTATTTCTGATTGATTAGGGGGTGGGTGAAGGAGGTGCTGTGCACAGTTCTTTTCCCTATATCCAATGTTTCTTTTCCATTGTAATAGTTGTGTGCCGAGGCGGATTCAAGTTGAGTCGAGAACAGTGGTGAGACAAATGCAATAGTTTATGTAATATTGATGCTCGCCACCGTTTGAGGCGAAGTGGCTGAAGGCGTGCGAACGTGTATACTTACACTCGACTCTAAGGGGCTGCTTGGATATTGCTACACTCCCAGCCAGGGACGAAGTGTGCGGCCTTTGGTACCTCTGTGGTGCTTGACCACAATTTCTTTACGGTTTACCACCGTTTTTTTTTTGGGTGGGCGAGGGGTGGCAGCTGTTCTCTTGACGTGGGTTTTGATGCGTGTGCATCATATCTGAATGGGAGCGCGGGTGCGGCTGCTACTGCTGTTGGATCTTGCCGGTTCTGTTTCTACTACTACCACTACTTTTACTACTACTACTGCAGGTTTAGCTACTGCTGCTTATGTTGGCTTCGACCGTATATGTGACGATTATGTGCCTTCTCATGTATGTATATTTTACTTTTGCCCAGTATCGTTTGTTTTTGTGCTTCAATTTTATTTGGTGGTTCTGGGGAATATTCTTCATGCTCAGGCCGCTGCAGGGCCCTCACCCCCCGGATAAACAACATCAAGAGTAGGCGGCATGTCAGACGGTCCCGTTCGGACACCCTTCACGCTGAAGGAGCGTGGACTGCAATACCTGGTGCGGCGACACCCTCCTGCTTTCGCTGTGGCTGGCTACAGTCCTGAAAATACAACATGGGAAGAAGTGCGAATTCTGCTGATTGGCGCCGGCGGCATTGGCTGCGAGGTTCTGCATGCTTTGGCGCTTAGCGGATTCACAGATACCACAGTCGTGGATATGGACACCATTGAGCTCTCCAACCTCAACCGGCAGTTCCTCTTCCGTGAGGCAGACATTGGGCGTAGCAAGGCGGAGGTGGCTGCGGCATTTATAGAGCAGTGCTGTCCAGGCGTGCGAGTGCATTCAATATTTGGTCGCATCGAGGATCAAGACGATGATTTCTACCGACAGTTTCACGCGGTTATTTTGGCTGTGGACTCCGTTGCTGCGCGACGGTGGATGAACCAGAAAATTGCAGAGCTTGCCCACTGGGACATTGCCGATGTTGCGAAGAGTTTGGATGGGCATGCGCAGGCGCGGAAGGAAAAACGTATTATCAGCGCTATCCCCCTCATTGATACCGGTACAGAAGGCTACGAAGCCTGTTGTCGTGTGATTCTTCTTGGCGAGCAGCCAACACCGTGCATTGAGTGTATGCTCGACCTTTACCCGAAGCGTAAGACAGTGCCACTCTGCACACTGGAAAACATCCCGCGTTCACCAGAGCACTGCGTCCTGTACGTGCAGTTCCGCCTTTGGGACGAGATGCGACCAGGCGTTGCGCTTGACACCAACGATATGGAACACATTCATTGGGTCTGCCGCATGGCGCAGCGACGCAAGGAAACCTTTAGCATTGCAGGGCCTGACATTGACGAGTCATTCACGCTCGGTGTTGTCAAAAATGTTGTGCCGGCTGTTGGCTTCACCAACGCACTGGTGGCTGGGCAGGCAACCCTCGAGTTGGTGAAATTGTTGACGGGCGTTGCGCCGTCCATGCAGTGCTTCTCGTACTTCAATGGAGCTGCGGAGTGTGGTGGGTTGACGTCATATGTGACGAGTCTTTCACCTAATCCCGCATGTCCTGTCTGCGCCCCACGGCCTCTGCTGTTGCTCACCGCGGATATGGGACCACGCGACGTGCTGGACGCCTTGAACGATCAGATTGGCTTCCCTGCTACGTCGCAAGAAGCATGCGAGTCACGAGACCCGCAGCGACTGGGTGTGACACTGCGCGTCCGATTTGAGCGCGACGGCGAGGTGTATCTTATTTACAAGGCAAGCAATCCGTTGAAGACAGACGTGAAGGGTGCTAATATTGAGGAGATTTTTGCGGCCGCGGGACATGCTGATGCCTTCGCGCGGTGGTGGAGCAGGAAGGGCAATGCTTTTACAGTTGAATGCAGTGGAGCTGATGCTCACATCTCAGCTGAAGCGCTAATGTCGAAAGATGCTTTATTCTCATGAGTTACTCTGCGTGTAAATGGGCGGGTATACGTTTGTTTGTGTCTGCGTGCCCCAAGAGATATCTTTTGTGGTTTGCATCTTTGTGAAAGAAGCACAGGCTGACTGTTGAAACAGTTACTGGAGTAGTGTAGTGGTGGGGGGCGGCAAGAACATACACCACAGTGAGCTTACAGGCATATTTGTAACCCCAAACGTTTCACTCTCTACCATTGCTATACCTTTCGCTGAGTTTGGCTCTCTTGCCTGTTTCTCTCTTCTCTTATGGCAGCGGAGAGTGTGAAGGGCACACCGATTAATGTTGCGGGTCCTTACCGGTCTGCGAGATGCTATCGACGGAAGAAGAATAAAAGTTCGTGCGGTGGCATCGGCTACATCTACCTTTCCGCCTCTCTTTCAGCAGGTTTGCTCGGCAGCGATGACGACGACGACTACGACAACAACAACAAATGGGACTACGGAGACGATGGCTGTGATGCGTGATGAGGCTCAGCCTATTAGTACAACTGTGGAACAACAGCGCTGGGATGGTGCGCTCTGTGGGCAAAGTGGTTTCCTGAAAAAGAAGAGGAAGGTAAACAAGAAGGACTCCTCCAGTACATTTAGCTTTCCTCTTGGTAATGGCATAGAAGTGCAGTTACCTGCACTTCCATCCCTCTTGGGCCGGGATGAAGTAGCTTCTGCCAAGCAGCAGGTGCGCAGCTCTACTGAATTTCAGTCGTCTGCGCCAACTGAGGTGGCGACCATTTCGACGTTGGCGTCTTTGCAGCTAGACTCTCTTGGTCTCCCCAAGTCTGTTGCTACTACTATTGCTAGTACTGGGGGTCCCGGGGGTAGTGCGCAGTTGGAAAAGGCACTCCTGGCATGGCCGGATGTGTTCTTTCGCCTCAAAACAGTTGCTTTACCGCTGCTGTTGGAGGGGAAGGGGGAACCCGAGATGAATTCTCTTTCCGAAGCATCTCTGGCACAGGGGTTCCATATTCTCACAGAGACACTTGATGTTGTTGATAGTGTAGCGAGGGCCACGGGTCTTCGGGCGGAACGCGCCTTTCCTGCCTCACTTGTCGAAGTACTGTGGAACGTCCTGCCGTCATTTTACGCGTTGGTGCAACATATGGAGCGGGGTAAAACAGAGCGCCGTGATGGTGAAGAGACTCTGCCTGCCTCCAGGGAAGGGTCTCTGTCTCCGATGAAAGAGTTGAAGCGTGCTGGGCGTGCTCTCGCATTGCGCACTCGCGACCTTGACGATCTGCTCTCCCCGTCGGTGCTCGTGCAGGCGTTGGTGTCGATGGAGCGGTGCGGTGCCTTGTCCGATGACATCATCGGCCCTATAGGGACAAATCTGCTGCGGCGCTACAATACCTCCGCGGCGTGTCTGGATGGCCCGCAGCACGTTGCCACGAAGCATCTTCTCTCAGCAGAGTTTGTTGCATCAGCGGCAGACGCAAATACGGTACCATTTAAAGGTGACGTCGCCGTGGCCCTCGTCCGGTTGCTGGGCCGAGTGCAGGTGACGGATCACTTTCAGTTGCACAGGTTGCTGCACACGATTCTCCTTCCTGCTGTGGTGCCTGCAATGCACGAAAATGCTCCCGATGAGGCGGCCCTGTTTGAGGTGACGGCGTGTTATGCGCGATATGCTGTTTCGGGGAGCGCCGTGGTGCAGCTCACGGCTTTATGGATGCCTTTTCTGCCTCACCTGACGCTAGACAGGTGTACAGAGCTTCTGCGCGCTGTTGGAAGTGGTCGGGCGACCAGAAAGTCTAGGCGCTCGCTTGCTCTTTCCCCACATGGGAATGGTGCCATAAGTGGGGCTGAGGAGGATTACATGCCTCTTGTTGATGCAGTTGTGGAGCGAGCCAATGTGTTGTGTCGCAGCGATATTCAGCGCGAAGTCGCAATGACATCGTACACCAACGATGTTGTTATTGCGCCTGCCACTGCGTCGATAAATGCCGGAAGTCTGTCGAGGTTTATTTGCTCTCTAGTTACAGTGAATTCTTCCAACTGGGCTGAGGCGTATGTCACGACGGCAACGGCGATGGCGAAACAACTCGATGCACTTCCGATAGGAGATCTCGTGCGTGTGACTAACGCCATCATGCATCGCAATTCGCATATGCCGTACCACCCGCTCCATGCTCTTTTGGTGCGCCGTCTCCTTAGCGTCGATGAGGCGATGCGTGACGTGAGAGTGGGAAACGTGGCGTTGTTGGCTGCCGCTTTGATGTCGTCACGGTCCGCACCATTTGCATCTTCTTCTGCCTCCCGCGTCTGCCCTCTGGAACTTGATGTGCGGACCGCTGGGTGCGGAGGTTTGGCTGACTCAGCTCCCTTCATGCCAGAGGCAAACTGTGCACTGGCGGTGTTCCGTCGTCATGGCACGAAGCTGGGTCTGCGCGGCTTTGTAGCTGGTATGTGTGTGGCTCCGTTGGGCCAGTTGCCACGACGTGCTCAGGAGCGAGTCATCATGCACTTCACCTCCATTGCCTCCGCCATTGAAGTGCCGTGGTTGGCAAAGGGCATAGCTGCGCTGATCTCGCAGATCCCGGGGGCAGTAGATCCTGTTTCAGTGCAGCGTTGGTTCTCGCGCTTTGCTGCGGTGGATGTGGTGCGACAACTGGACGTTGAACATGCCACGACGCTGCTTAACATCCTCTCCGATGAGAATTACGGTCGCGATTGTGCATTGGCGAAGCGGTCCATCACTACCCAGGCTGGAAAGCTCCTTCTTCAGGAAAGTTTTCCCCTGGGGTCACTCGCACCACTGGCACTGGCACTGCAACGCTCCAATGTCTTTTTCCCACATCTCTACTCACGCATGTGCCGAGTTCTTCTTTCGAATGTGCGGTGGGCGTCATGGGAGCTTCTTCTTCCTGCCTTTCACGCCGCAGCTGACGAGTTCACACGGGTCCAGCACGGCAATGGTTGCGTTTTCCGCGATGTCTGGGAACAGCTGCGAAGTCGTATTATGGAGGAAGCAGCAGCATCTCTTTCTGCGAACGATGTCGCTGCAGCCCTTAACGGTTTTGCAGCGCTTGATGGAAGGGACCGCCCAGCATTTTCTCTGTTGTTGCATCGTTTGTGGATTATCTACAGGGATGTTCTCGCAACGGCTGCTTCTGGTGGTGTTAGTTGTGATAGAGGTGCTAATGCGTCGTTGGAGATTGAGGAACCTCAGCAAACACCAGCGAGATGGGTCGATGAGGTGCTGACGGAATTTACACCCAGTGCACTTGCCGCTTCCCTTTCGACACTCATTTATATGGGTGATGGCGAGATCGTTAACACATTTCTGCCATGGATGCTTCTTCGCATTCGACCTGTTGTGAAGGACCTCTACCCAATCGATTTGTTGCAACTGATGCCAGCGTTGTTACATAGTTTCAGTGCGGTGCCCATGACCGCAGAAGATGCGTCAAGAAAAGAAAATACGTCATGGCTGTGTAATCCAGTTAACATTGACCTCTTGCATGCTACACATGACGGGTGCCGCGAGTTGTTCCTCCACATGTACGAGGATGAGTCTACTGCCGCGGATGCAAAGATGCTACAGACTCAGCGTGCTGAGTGGTCGCCGAAGGTACGTGTCTCCGTTTCACATGTTCCACGCTACCTGTACGCGGAACTCCTTATCGCATTGTCCCAGGCGGGTGTGCAGGATGCAGCGGTTGCCACGGCATCCGCTGTGTGTATTACACGACGTTCCTGTGCATGTATGCCGATATCTATGCTGGTGGATTTGGCCATGGCGCTATGCTTTCATTTCCCACCGCAATCACCTGATGACGCTGTTTTGGCGGGTGAGTCTACTTGGGAGAGTGCTGTGGGCACGCCCCCCGGTGGAGTTGCGGCAGACACCTCTCTTTCCCAAGGGACTGAAGCCGAAAAAGTTGTAGGAGGTGCTGTGCCGCCAGCACTCGCTCCAAATCAGCGCTTTCTCCCTCCTGTGTTGAATGCAATATGGGACCGAGTGGAAGAGCTGCATTCCCATCAGATTGACGCCATGGTGCGCTGCTTCAGGCACTACTATGGTGAGAAGGTTGACAATGATTTTTTGCTTCGCCTACAAAGGCACAATGCGGCACTTGCTGAGGTGAAAAATAACCCGAAACGATTGGGGCATGTCGTGCAGAATAGCGGAGAGAAGAGTGACGATGTGATGCCTGTTGTGAAGCAGGACACTGTTGCATTGAACGAATTCACAGCGGAGGACTTGTTCGCGTGAAGAGAGATTGTGTGGCGAGAAATAAAGTGAATTCACATGAAGGACTTCCACATGGACAGAGGTGACACTTACAGGTGATTGATTTTGTTGTCTTTTCTCTTTTATGTCTACTTTCCCATATTCTGTGTGTGTGTACTTCTTTTTTTTGTTTTTGGGAGGGGTGGGTGTGGGGGCGATTCTTGTAGTTGGCGTGACACACTCAAGCGGAAGCAGTTCCATATATATATATATATATATATTTATAATAGACTAAGCGGTAGGGGTAAAAGAAACCACGTGTGGTCCTCTGGGGGAGGGCCGGCATGCCGAGTGAAAATGCAACTGGGGACGAAAAACCAGACCCAGCCCTCTTCGCCACCACTTCTTCCTCCTCTAGGCCCCCAGGAGTGCTGACGTCAAGTGGCAGGATGCAATCCAAGGTGTCCTTCGCGCTCGCACACGAGGCGCCGTGCTCACTCACAGCGACCGAGCAACAGGACGTGGCGGGTGCAAGGTCCACCCACCAGCACAGAGCTGCCTCACGCCGCGGTGTACCAGGGACAGCATTATCTTTATTACAAAAGAGTGATGGGAACGCTAACAGTGATAGAGGCGTAAGGGCACTGGAAGCATCGGAAGATGCCACTGAGCCGGATGAACGAGTTACAAGCATGGACACGACAGAGTACGATCCCGATCACCCCGAGGGCCTCCTGGAGAAGTTGGAGGAGGTGCGCGACGCAACTGATGGGAATGTACATCTTAAGACCCTTGACCGCATGACCACAGCCGGTCCACCGTGGTGGCTGCGACGATGGTCAGAGCTGCAGCTATTTTTGAACAGTACACGTGGGCGAGCAAACCCCTGCAGCACTGCGGTGGATGCAGCAATTCATCAGCTGACTGCTGACGTTGCAGCCGCAGAAGCCCTCGAGCAGGCCGTGGCAGGTGGCAAAGATGGCGGCTTGTGTGGCTCTTCTGCGAGGGAAGTCGAGTGCATAGACACGAATCAGGATATGGAAGAAAAAGAAGAGGAGGATACTCTGTTAGGCCCGAATGGTGGGAATGAGGAAGTCAACCGAAAAAATGGGGCAAATGCGGAAACTGAGACCGAGCAGGGCGTCACAATGGCACCGATCGTACCGGTGTGGCAGTTCATTGGGGCGGGGCAGCGCATGACTCACCTGCTTTCCCTTGGCCTTGCCGGGCGACTACAAGGGTTACTGGACCTGATGAGCAAAGACAAGGAGCGCACGGCACTGAAACTATTAGGTGTTTCTGATGATAGTGGCTGCGATGGCACACAACAGAATACGATTTGTCCAGTGCTACAATGTGCGCATATGTCAATAATGAGGAAGACGATTATTGCTGATTTGTTTTCTTCATCGATGAACATGCATCGACAACGTGCCCCTCATATCAGTGATGGATTTTACGCGCAAATTCCGAGGGTTAACGTGGAATATGTGACAGAGGAGGATGCTCGACCAGTGTACGATGCGTCAAATCTGCTACCGCCTAGCATGAATGAACCTTTGATGATGAACTTGAGTGACGTTTCGCAGGAGTACCGTTCTTTTGTTATTCACATCGACTATGTCCGCTTTCAACCGTCTGCGCCCGCCGCTCGGCAAAACTCTGCAAGTATCACCAGACTTGACGCGCCGCCACTTCGGCGCAAACTGTCGTGGAGCGGAGACAGCCCCGTTGGTGTGGGAATGACAGTGAAGGGTGGGAACGGTCTCCATGCTAAGCCGTTGATTTCTTTCACCCGGGAGGACCAACTCATCGCAAAGATTTTGGACAACTACGAACAGTATCGTATGCTGGAGCTTAGCCTCCTGCCGCAGTTGAAGAGTCGGCGGTATTACCAGGACCAGCTGAAGAGCCTGCGCCGGCAGCCACACCCCACTGATGAGCAAAAAAACTTGATTGCTACACTGTCGCAGCTGTTCAAGGCTACATGTGAGCTTGAGCGCACATACCTCCGCACCATGCTGTCAGCTTGGCTGCAAGTTACTCGGCTGCGTGGTGAAGACCCTGATGCGTTTGCCACCACGACTCCTTCCTTGGGCCAGCAGTCCAATATGGAGGAGGAAAATGTCGGCTCTTCATTGTGGCCAACACCAAAAAGTGACGCTACAGAGAGGGACCACGCACAGCGTGGCTCGTGGGGTGTGCCTCATGGTACTTTTTCACTTCTAAGCAAAGGCTCAGACTTGCATACTTCGGCGCCTGTGGCACGCTTTTGCATGTATCTGCGGCGTCACGGTGAGAGGGCGGGAATACCTTACGTCCAGGGAGACGATCTGCTGGAGTACACGCCAGTTATTGAGGGTGTTGCCGCACCATCGCAGGCAACTGGCAATGTGAGGCTGCAGCAGCAACAACAACTCGAGGGTGCCCTGGATATGTCACCGCGTTTCCAGGTCCTCGTCTTTGCTCGCACCAACACTCTGGTGCCACCGCAGTTTGTGGGGGCCACTTCCCCCCGGGCACTCAGCGTCACAAAGGCCCTATTTTTCAACGAGACTTTTGAGCTGCGCACCATGCAGGAACCACGGGAGATTTTGCTGCACATTGTGTCAGTAGGTGAGGCGGACGAAGACCACGTGGTGGCCACTGTTACTGTGCCACCCTCTCTCACGCGCGCGTACTTGCTACTTCCGCTGCAGGCTCCTGTCTCCTTCACGTTCCGTGGTCGTACCCATGGGAAGCATGGCGGAGGCGTCCTGCCTGGCGTTATCTCACTTTCAACGACGTGGACAACGACACAAGGGATGACGGTAGAGGAAGTTGAACAAATATTTCTCAGTGGCGATGCGGACCCTATGGACCCACAATATGAGAAACTTCTGAGTATTTTGAGAAGCCACTACATGGATTATGGAAGACGCATCCTGGCCAACCGTGCGGCCGAAGGCGCAGCCTCATGGAAGCGTCCTAATGATGGTGCTGCTGCTGCTGCTTCTGCAAGAATACGAACAACAACGACATCCATTGGGCGCAGCAATGAGCGAGAACCTGAAGATAGCGAGGCGCGTCGCCAGGAAAGCCGTATGCAGAGTGAAAGGCTGGCTTTACTGCGACGGCGTTGGATGATTTCTGCAGGGCATGCTACGCCTCAAGATGCAGCTGAGGCACGTCTTTTTTCACAGCCGATCCCTCTCGAAGACACGGAGTGCCACGAGTTGCAAAGGCTAATGTCACACCTCACCGCACGCGAAGAACGCGAAACAACGCGTGGGTTTTTTGGGGGTGGTGCATCGCTGCACGATGCTGCGGGGAGAATTTTGCCGCTCGCCTTGTCTCTGAGTCCACTTCCACGCGCGCGAAAGCTGAAAGTTTGGCAAGAACGTCTTCAATACCTCAAGGCACACCGTATCTCTTCCCGTAAATTGGAGGACCACGAGCTGCTTGAGCGGTACGTCATTCTGCCCAAGATGCAGCGCGTCAGAGGCATCAACTTAACTCCAGAGAGCCAGCTGAATCCACGACGCGAAGAACGCCCAACTACAGACGAGATTAATCGGGATGCACTCGCGTCGAATAAAGACTCCCGTGTTGTTGTCCACGTCATGAAGGCGATGTCACTTCCTCAACGATCTGACGGATCCCCGCTAGAGCCTTTTGTGGAGGTGAGCTTTGTCCACGAGACAGTACACACGCGCAGTGAAGTTGGAACAGCGCCCTCGTGGTTTGAGACCCTTAATATACCTTTCTGTCCGCCAGACTTTGACGACGAAACACTGTCATTGATTGAGGATGAGATTGTTATATCGGTGTATGATAAGCTGGAAATTCCCATGGCATCTACAACAGTGGCAGCCGGAGCTATCTCTCATGAGACGCACTACCGTACTGAAAGACGGCTTCTAGGGACACTACACGTGCCTTTCTTTACACTATACGAGGCAGAGCAGGCACGTATGGAGGGACAGTACCCTCTTACAACGCCGCGGTGGATGCTCGGTTATCACCCTGATAGAACAGGCGTGAGCAGTGGTCTAAATCCACTGCACTCGCGTCGTACCGAGACAGTTGTTTCCTACCCATCTGTCCAGTTGTATGTGGCGCTTTGGCCTCCGCTTCAACGAGATGCGCACAAAGCTCTCGATCAGCCGACTATTTCTCGTCTCGTGACACAGCTTAACGTTTCAGCGCAGCTACAGCACCTGCATGATATTGCGATGAAGTGGAGGGCTACGGCTCTTCAAAAAGTGAAAAGTCTCTCCTCCGTGAATCCTGTAGCTAATAACCGGGAGATCGAACCCTTTGTGTTTTGCACCACAGGTGATTTAACTCTTATTTGTCGTTACCTCCTTTCTAATGGGGGCCCTCCACCGCTGACGGTGAAGACAGTAGAGGAAGCCATACATTTTGTATCACTGTTACTATTTCGTATCGATACCCTCACGTGGGGAGATAACGATGTGTGGAGCACCAACGCTGAACTTCTACGCACACGGGAAGGTGACTACGAAGAGCTATCGCTTTTATTAGCGCATTTCCTGCGTTTTCTCGCCCCGGATGAGGTGACCTACGTGGTGACGGGTAGAGGCACAATACATCAGCATGTGGTAATGGTATTGCACTCATTTGGTGGAGAACTTCGCCTAATTGATCCACGTACGGGATGGGTGTGCCCTGTCCATGACCCGCATCTCTCTTTTTTCCGTGATGTACACATGGTTGTGTCACACGATCAGCTGTGGGCGAACGTTCAGCTGAGCGGGGCGCCGCATCGGATGGACTGGAGCCTTGACGACCGGCGTTTTTGGCTACCATGCTTTAACCACGAGGACGATAATGTGAAGGCCTGCTTGCCGTTTATGGCTGGCTTGCAACGGGAAACTTTACCCTTTTCAATGCCGGATGCAAACAAAGAGCAGGAGATTGAGCAGCAACTGCGCAAGGTGGTTCGTCGGGCACTCATGGCTTGGCGCAATAATTGGCACCCGGCCTTTCATCACGGTGTGGCGTCTGTCCTCCGCACACTTCTTGAAGAAGCGGAGAGCGAGCGCTGCAAATACGCCAGTTCACGTCAAGGTTCGGTGACAATGCGAGCTACGAAGCTTCTGAATGAGTATTTCGGGGACGATGTGTTACAGGATCCACGACGACAGCGTAGCCGCAGTGAAGAAGTTGGCGATGCAGCTGACAGTGATAAGAAGATGGCGTTGAAGACACCTAAGCTGCAGATCATGGGTAGTCCTGTGAATGACGCATACCAACCTGACGACGTCGCCTATCAGCATATCCTGGAGAAGGTTTTCGAGACCGCAGTGCATGAGGTAGGTACGAATGCTGTCAGTTTCGCGCTTGCGGTGTACGTGAAGGGGTACACCAATGAGGTGTATTCCATGTGGGTGTTCCTAGTGGCGCTTTATGAAGCTGTGTCACCGCGTTGATGAGTCCCCAGTGCTGCACATGCTGCGAGACGGAAATAAGTACATCATAGATCTATGCATAGAGAAACGAATAACCGTCTTTCCATGAACATATATACATATATAACCGTTTGTGTGGTGTGACTCTGGATTTGTGCGTTCGAAATTGCGCATGTGAAGGAGTATTTGAGACATGGTTGGCGCAGCTGTTTCCACCATCCTGTTTTTTTTTGTTTTTGCTATTTAGACGGTATATTGCAAAGGGAACAAAAACCCTTGCAAGACGCGGTTACCTTTTCATTGCTATTTTGTACAGGAGGGCAGCTCTTGTTTGGGGGTAGAGCAGAGCTTTGATTGACGCCAGGAAAGATGATGTCAAGGGCCGCGTACATGATGCAGGATCAACTGCGGCGGAATTATGCCCTTATCACAGATGTTCATACCCCTAACGTATTCTTAGTGAGGGGAACCTTGCCGTTTCCACAGGGTCTCGCCGTTCTTACGCTTCTCTTTCGTGGGAGGCTGGCCGCAGACGTGTACAGCCACCCATATTTCATAGAGAAACAGAGCGACCCGTCCCAGCCATCACCGCAACTGCATCTCACAGAAGAATGTCAGAGCCTGATGAAGATAATTAAAGGGCTACATTTTATGAAGGATGACACCTCCAAGCTAGACAACACCATGATGTTTGTCACCGATTATAACGTTGATGTCAAGGGGAACATGCTTACTCTGAGAAGCGAGAGTGAGGAAGACGCAGACGCTGTGGAAAAGCAACGTCACCCGGGAGAGGGTGATGAAGAGTGGCAGGAGCGTGCTCTACGCCAGCGGTGGCGAAGGACAGCAGCAAATCGGCGCAACAACAGTAGTCATGGTGACGGTTCCCTTGCGGAGGCTTCACTCCGTCCCTACACACGACAAAGCCATTTGGGTAATGCCGGGCAGAGCGAAACTGAGAAGACTCGGCGTTTCGTGGAACGACACGGGGGCCACACAGTACTCTACAATCCAATCGACACTGACCAAAAAACGTTTGACGCAACGATTCAAAAGCTGCGTGATGAGGAACGCGTTGTGAAGACGATTGTTGTACCAACTCGACAGGGGTGGGGAAGCGTGCATACATGGGCGGAGGCTTTCCCTGATGCGGACATTTTCTGCAGCGGTGACGCGATTCTTAATGGTGATCGTCGACTGCCTTTGCAGCAGCAGGGACAGCAAGACGGAGAGGTACGGCGAGTAGGTGGCTGTGTCGATATGGGCAACGGCGTTACGGGGCTTTCTTTTCCAGAGGTGGTGGAGAACGAAACAGCAGCCGACACAGCGGCTAGTAATGAAATCGACGAGTGTGCGGCATCGGTTGGAGATAGCGAGAGTGTTTGCCGCCTTTTTTCACATCAGCTGTCTGCTGCAGGAGGGAAGGGCCCAGTTGATGATGAAGTAAGGCATTTGCCTCGCGTTCGCCCGTTAGGCACAGTGCCACAGCAACAGATTACACCCGATATTGAGCTTGTGCGGGTCGCTGGTGATGACCAGACGAATGAGTATGTGTTGTACGACCGCGGCAGTGGGTGCATCGCATGCACAGACCTATTCCACGGTGAGTACGGTGACTTGGACCCTGTCAATTCGTGGATGTGTCGCGTTTGGTTCAAATTCATGAAGGGGGGGAACTACAAGCGTATTGATCTCGTGCCACAGTTCAAGTGGCTAGAGGTGAAGCGCCACGGAAGTCTGGATGCAATCCGCGGGACGGTAGACATGCTTACAAGGACGCGTCGTATCAAGTATCTGTTGTACGCCCACGGCACCCCGCCACGCACAGAAGACCCTGCCAATGCACTACGACTGCAGTGGGGGCTGCCGCCGTTGGAGGAGAAGGAGCAACCGGGCCTTCAACGAGAAGATGACGATGGGTCGAAACAGCAAAGGACTAAAGTGTGACCACAGACCTTAGCGTTAATCGTTTTGGGAGCGAATCAGACCACTTGTGATTCATTTTTTCCGTGTCTTTTCATCCTTTTTGGTGGAATACAGGCAAAAAGGAAACAAAAACCCCTTTATTCTCTTTGGTTATGCTTAATCATTACCCCCCACCCCTCCTACCCAGTGTTGTTTATTTTTCTTGTCGCTGTTTTCTCTCATCGTCTCAAGGTGCGTTGGAATTACAAGAAAATAAAAATGGAGCCGCCTGTGGGGCGTGAGAGGAGCAGTAAGCACGGGAATACCAGCGACATGCTGGCTCCAAGTTCACCACAGCTTCAAACGAGGTGGCTAGAGGCGTGGCGCACAACCAGCGACTGTACACGGGGCGCTTTGGGCCTCCTTTGTGCGCTCGAGCCACTCATGACGAATCTCCATCGTGCCCGTGAGGTTAGTGTGGCACACTTGTACGGTGGCGGAGGCAAGCGTGCCAGTCGTATGCTTCGTGAAAAAAGTAGTCACTCCCACAGTAGCGGTCAACCTGAGTATGGACCCAATAGCTCCAACATGCAGTCTGTGGACTTTGAGAGAGGAGCCACCCCATTGTCGCACGGCACAGGTGGTGTCAGGCTAACACCGGCCCACACGCCAAACGACCACAGTGAGGATGGGCGAGGCTCAACTCCTGTTCCGCCTATCGACGGCTTTTCAATGTTTGTTCGTCGGTGGGAATCGCAAGCCGCCGTGGCCGTTGCTGAGGGTGGCGAAAGCAGACGACGGAGGCGACAAAATCGTGTGGACAGTGACGACGAGGCCCTTGACGATGACGACAATGAAGGGCTGCCGGTGGCTTCGGAAACAGCGCGCCCCGCAGACTCCAACCGGCGTCTTCGATCGGGTTTCGGGGCTCCTCGTGTCAAACAGTTAGGTGAACTTGCCAGTGGGAAAGCAAAGCAAGAAGAAGAGGAGGATGAAGAAGAGGAACCAGAAGAGGATGAGGAGGATGAAGAATATGAACTTGGCAGTGAGGCGAATTTTGGCGAGGACGGCCATCTCGCCTGCGTTCCAGGCGATGTGCTACACAACCGCTACGCTTTGGTGCGCCAGTTGGGCTGTGGATGCAGGAGCCGTGTGTGGCTTGCTGTTGACTTGAACCAGTGCTCCGTTACGCGTCGTCAACTTGTGCGGGAATTGGACGAACAACAGGTGCGTAGATACTTTACTGCGCTGGATCGGCCGCTATTCGTTGCCATAAAGGTGTTCCGCTGCGGTGTGGTATTCACTCAGGCAGCTGAACACGAGACGCTAATGTTGATGTATATAAAGGAGTGCAAGAAAGTGAGACAGTTGCAACGGCTTGTATCGACCCCTTCTTCCAGAGCCCTATCGCGTGAGGTGTCAGCTGTAAGCCCACCGCGTGAGCCGGCCCAAGACGGTGCGCTTACTACACTCTCTGACGGCAGCCGCTCGCCTACAAGTCACTGCCAGAGCAATAGTGAAGAGACGATGTGGTTACCTTCAGCTGAGCGTGTCATCTCCATTCGAGAATGCTTCAAACACCACGGGCCATTTGGTCTGCATCATTGTGTCGTCATGGATGTGATGGGTGCCTCGGTGAGTGCTCTCATGAAAGAAGCAGGTCCTCATGGCGTACCAGAAAACGTCGCCCGTGGCATTGTTCACTCGACGCTAGAGGGCTTAGCGCTTCTTGCGTCCATACACGTCATCCACACCGATATCAAGCCTGATAATCTTCTCTGTGTAGAGCTCGAGGAAGATGTCGCCAACGATGTGGAGGCGTTCCTCATGTACCACTTTGACATGCCGGTGCCAACTGGCCTAGATGGGCGGGCAGTGCGCCGCAGCGTGGCGGCAGAGGACTCCTCGATGAATCAGAGTCAGGAAAGCTACTTTGTGTCGGCACAGACCAGTTTGAAGGACGTTGTCGATACACCACGCACAGCGCGTAGTCGAAGCTCCTGTGGTACCGCTCGGCGACTCTTTAGGGCCCAACATCACTGGGGTTCCCGCGCCGAGGCACCGTACTCTGTTCAGCTTGCCGACTTTGGTCTGTCCTTCATTGTTCCACCCGATTTACGTCACTTTCACTGCACAAAGACTTATGACGGTGCAGAGTGCAGCGGAGCCCAGGAAGGGGTTGCAGAGGACACGGTGTCGAACCCCAGCAAACTTCTAAACGGCGATAGTTTTTTGGCCGCCTCTACCTTGTTGAGCAACGCAGTCGCAAGCGTAGGGGTGATGTCCAGTGCCGCCAATCCATTTCAAGACGTTACTCTTTCCTCGAAGCCTTTGACTTCTTCCGGCTGCGCTACTAGTGGAGTGAGTGAATTGGAGCAAGAAATTTTGTCTCGGCAAAACTTTGGACGGGGCCTGGCTCTACAATCACGGGAATACCGATCCCCAGAAATCATTCTCGGCAGAGAATGNTATACTGCCATTGACATCTGGTCTATTGGGTGTATTACGTTTGAACTTGTCTGTGGTCGTCTTCTTTTTGACCCTGTGCGTGACTTTTCGGAGGCTGAAGAACGCAACGAGAGGGCAGAGGAGCAACAGAAACAGCGTGATCAGAATTTCACAACTTCCCCTGAGTTCAATGAGTGTGAGGGAAAGGATGCAGATGCGGCTCATGATAGTGATGAGACAAAACATGCTATTGCTGCCTTGGGCCCTAACCACTTTGTTGAACGCGAGAAGAACGTGGACGTTTGCCACCTACGTGCCATGATTCTTCTTCTAGGTGCTCCGAATCCACGCTACATTACCTCTTCCCCCACGGGTGAGTGTGTAAAGGATTTTTTTGATGACAATGGCGAGTTTCTATTCCTCACTGACGATGAAAGAGCACAACTGTATGACTGTGAGGGTAAACAATGTCGTACTTGCTCTTTCAGCGCGCCGACACGCGTTGTTGAGTGCGAGAGAGGTGCCTCCGAAGATGAAACAAACTTACCGAGGCACTCTACGGCGTCTGCTGCTACCTGCGCCCGCTGCCGTGTCACTCCGTTGTGGCTGAAGGTGCGGCATGAGATTGAGGAGCGACTTGGGGCGGAGGACGGAGCCGTGTTTGAGGGATTCTTGCTAAAGTGCCTTCAGTGGGACCCGTCTCGACGCAGCACCGCACACGCTTTGCGGAAGGATGCGTGGGTGACTGGTGCGGAGGACGTTGTGACCACTGTGGAGGGCTGAGGGAGAAAATGTTTTTTTTTTTTTTTTATGACTAACGGTGAGCACACCAGTGAGGAGATGAAGAACGAAGACTTTGAGTTTAATTTATATGGGGTCGGTTGACGAGTTTGGTGTCTCTCTTATCATCTGCCTGTATACATAACAAAAGGAAACACGAAGACACAAAAAGTGTGGCTGAATTTAGTAGTATTGATATTTGTGGCAGGTGGCAGGTGGTGGGTGTGGGTGTAAGTGAAGGTTTTGGGGGTGGGTGTATTAGGGAGGAAGAGGAGTAATGGGTATGCTTCGCCGGGCTGTCATTAATATATACATACATACATGCATAAATACATATATTGCGTGCTGTGTTCTTTGTCGTTTCGCTGCGGACATGCCAATGATTTTTTTTTTTGGAGTTACTGTGTATTTGTTTGTTTTTATATGTGTGTGTGTGTGTCTGTCTGACGTTTCTCCCCTTCTCTCGGTAATGAACAAGGATGGGAAGGTGAACTCTGTCTGGATTCTCTTCCAACAGAGGCGATGAGTACCGGGACAGTTGCGGCGAATGAAGCATTGCAGGAGCCCTGCGTAAGCCCCCTCGCCGTTGTGGAAGGCCCGTACTCTGTCCACTTTTCTCTCGGTTGTGTCGTGCACCCGTGTGCGGTCATCGTTGCCCAGCGTGGACCTATATACTTTGGCGCCTACTGCGTTGTGGAGGAGCATGCCCGTATCATCAACAGTGCATTGGAAGACGAGGAGGCCCTTCAAGTGAGGTCTGCTGCCCAACCCATGACCATCGGCGCATACAACCACTTTAAGGCCTTCTCTCACGTGGTGAATGTTCAGCGCATTGGCCACGGTAACCAGTTTGAGCCCCATTGCCGTGTTGAAGGTGCGAACGAGGAAGCCGATGGCTCCACTGCGTTATGCTTTGTGGGGGATTATTGCGTTGTTGGGGCGTTTGTTCGCCTCGGAAGGCGACAACGTGGTGTAGACACAGTTCCCGATCTGGAGCCACAAACGAACTTGACAATGGCAATCCCGTCACGCAGTGTGTTGCTTTACCGTGCCGCGGCGAATGGGGTGTGCAACTGTTCTCCTTCGTTGTGTTGTTCTTGCTGTTGTTTCTGGGTGCTCCCGCGGGGAATCTCGCTCGATGAGGAGGCGGCGGATGCTGCGATGCGGAAGAAGTGCTGCTGCCTCCGCGAGGTGCAGTTGCGCGGTGCGGCGGTGTGCCACTGATGTTTGTGCCCCACTCTAAAGGGGGGATTGTTGGCTGTACGACAGGGCGCACTTTTTTGCTGTTCAATATCTCTGTTGCTTCTTTGATTCCTGTTTTTTTTTTTTNTTTCGTTTTAAAAACATGTTGTGCGGCCTGTGTGCAGTTTTACACGCGATCCAACCGCCTTTTTTTTGTTTTTGAAGGAACATGGCCCAGCCAGCCAAAGTCGAGCCGCAGGACCAGGACTCCTTCCTGGACGACCAGCCCGGCATCCGCCCCATCCCGTCGTTCGATGACATGCCGCTGCACCAGAACCTCCTCCGTGGCATCTACTCGCACGGTTTCGAGAAGCCCAGCAGCATCCAGCAGCGTGCCATTGTTCCATTCACCCGCGGCGGTGACATCATCGCCCAGGCGCAGTCCGGTACGGGCAAGACGGGCGCCTTCTCCATCGGCCTCCTGCAGCGCCTGGACTTCCGCCATAATGTCCTGCAGGGACTCGTCCTCTCGCCAACGCGCGAACTTGCGCTGCAAACAGCTGAGGTCATTACCCGCATTGGTGAGTTCCTCGCAGACGGTAACCAGTCGTTTTGTGCTACCTTCGTTGGTGGAACACGTGTGCAGGATGACTACCGCAAACTTCAGGCCGGCAACATTGTGGCCGTTGGCACACCTGGGCGTGTAGTCGATGTGACGAAGCGCGGCGCGATGCGCACAGAGTCCCTCCGCGTCCTTGTTCTCGACGAGGCTGATGAGATGCTCTCTCAGGGATTTGCTGAGCAGATTTACGACATCTTCCGTTACTTGCCGAAGGAAATTCAGGTTGCCCTCTTCTCCGCCACCATGCCAGATGACGTGCTGGAGCTGACAAAGAAATTCATGCGCGAGCCAACGCGAATTCTTGTGAAGCGTGAGAGCCTCACCCTCGAAGGTATCAAGCAGTTCTTCATTGCTGTGGAGGAGGAGCATAAACTCGACACGCTCATGGACCTCTACGAGACAGTGAGCATTGCACAGAGTGTTATCTTTGCCAATACCCGCCGCAAGGTTGACTGGCTCGCTGCCCAGCTAAACAGCAGCAATCACACGGTCAGCTGCATGCACTCGGAGNCCCGCCGCAAGGTTGACTGGCTCGCTGCCCAGCTAAACAGCAGCAATCACACGGTCAGCTGCATGCACTCGGAGATGCCGAAGCAGGATCGCGAAAAGGTCATGAGCACCTTCCGCAGCGGTAGCTCCCGCGTGTTAGTGACGACGGATCTCGTTGCCCGTGGTATTGACGTGCACCACGTGAATATCGTGATCAACTTTGATCTGCCGACAAACAAGGAGAACTACCTCCACCGTATCGGCCGTGGTGGGCGTTACGGCCGAAAGGGTGTGGCGATCAACTTTGTGACACAGAAGGATGTGGAGGTGCTGCGCGAGATTGAGTCGCACTACCACACACAGATTGACGAGCTTCCGGTGGACTTCGCTGCTTACCTTGGCGAGTAACGAGCATGAAGAAAGGCACGGGATGATCGCGGAAGAGTGCGTGAGGAAGAAGAAGGAGGGAGGGGAAAAGAAAAGAAAAAAAGATGGAAAAGAATATTCAATAAAAAAAGAAATGAACGTCTCTCTACCACACACCAGCACGAGGAGGTGAGAGGAGCAGAGCGGGGCAGAAGTGAAGGTGTGATGCTCTTCGCTTCTGCCTCCCCCCCC